CAGAGCAGCTGCTGTTATTCATTTAGATGTAATGTGTTGGTCTCGTCTTTTTCTATGCAATGCTACATTCTGCTGTGATAAGAGCTATGATAAGATACAACCAAAGCCAACTCTAAAATTTATTGCCTTAAAAAAAACTTTGATTACAAATAAGTAAAAGAAATAAAAAGAGAGAAAGAGTTAGAGAAAATATTAAAATAAAATAACCATTTATACCTCTTAGTTCAAGAAATAGTAAATTTCACATGGTGAAATTTTTGTTCTTAATCTATATTCTTATTCACCTCTCCCCTCATGTCAGTTTGAAAATCTCAGGGTAATATTCCAACCCCAAAATATTTACTATATGTGTCTATAAAATAAAACCACTTAAAAGTGTTGCAAAATCATATTATATCTAAAATATTGAACAACCTTTTAAAAATATCATATAATATCATTTTGTTTATTACTGTCGTTTTCTCACAATGTTATAATTTTAATAGTTCCTTTTTTTTTCTTTTGGAATGGGGGTTGGCAGGGAATTTGTATAATGTTCACATATAATGATTGATATTTTTCTTAAGCCACTTTAAAATCTGTGCTGGTTCTCTTTCCATTATTTTTTTCCTTATGTTGTATTTATTAGAAAAATCAAGTTATTTATTTTGTGGAATTTTTCAGCAGTGTGCACTGTGCTCTCCTTGGTATAATTTTACATATTGCTTCATCCTTTGTATTTCCTATAAATCACTACTAAAGATTTCTTTTTTGTGTTTTGTGTGTGTGTCCCTCAAAACTATTCCACATTTCGTGTGCAAGTCTTTTTGGTCGACATTACAAAGCAGCACAGACTACATACCTCAAACAATGCAAACTTTTCTCACAGTTTAGGAGGCTTAGAAGCTCAAGGTCATGGTGTCTCCATGATTGGTTTCTGGTGAGGGTTATTCTCCTGACTTGTAAATGGCCATTTTCTTGCCATGTTTCTCAGTTGGCCCGTATTCTTTGTACTCTTACACAGAGATAGAGAGAGAGAGAGAGAGAGAGAGAGTGTGTGTGTGTGTGTGTGTGTGTGTGTGTGTGTGTGTGTGATCAAGCACCTGTGCACACTCCAATGTGTCTTTGTGTCTTCACCTTCTCATAAGCCAGTTGATTAAGGACTCACTCATATGACCTCATGTCTTCCCCTTCTCATAAGCCAATGGATTTAGGACTCATTCATATGACCTCTTTTAACCTGAATCACCTCAAAGGTTACTTCTTTACATACAGTTAAGTGATTCAGGTTTCACATATAATTTTGGAGGATAAGCAAAATCCCATCCCAAACAAATAATATTGAATTAACTTTCCTATCAGCAGTCAAAAATATCTGGTTGTCACTGTTTCGTAGCAACAGCTAATGTTCAATGATTTAATCCATCTATTTCTGAGGATCTATAAAATCTTTATGCTAATTTTATCATTTCTTTCATTACTAGCTGGAATAATTTCATGAATAACAAGTTCATCAGTTATTTGTTTACAAAGACAGTCAATGATTTGTTGGAAAAAGCAGAAAATGAATATTGTTTCTTATTTTGTAGGTTTCAAAATGCTTTCTAAGTGTCATCCATTGATGATCAACAAAATGTTTTTCTTTTCAAAATTATGAACTTACAAAGTTAAATATTTCTTTCAAATCATTATGGACATTACCCATATTGTTGCTCAATTTGTCCCATCCTTAGCCAGAGAAAACCCTTACTTATTGACTCTTGAAATCTTTTGACATAAACCCAGTTTTCTTTAATATCTTTCTTGCTACCTGGTACAAAAAGGTGCTTCACATTGATCTTGATTTCCTCCCTTGGATATGGAATCAATGATCTTTTACAAAAACCTTAATTATTTTTGGTGGTATTTCAAAATACTGTTTCAAAACCATAAAGCACTGGGAAGTTCATGGTTTCTAAGTTGGCCATTGTTTTTAGTTCTTTGTTTTGGGTTCCATGATATGGAATATGTGTTATATTCCTTAAGAACTAAAATGTGAGTTTAAACTTACTGTCAATCTAGTATGTAACTGTAGGCATTTTAAAAAATAATTTAATTGTAGATGGACAATTTATTTATTTATTTGTTTGTTTGTTTTTTTATGTTATTTATTTTATTTATTTGTTTTTTTATATGGTGCTGAGAATCAAACTTAGTGCCTCACATGTGTGAGACTAATACTCTACCACTGAGCTACAACCCCATCCCCTAGGCATTTTTATTTACTTTCTTTAATTGTATATTTAGATCTCACTGTTAACACTAGTTTTCAAAGCTGAGAATGCTAGAATTAAAATTCCCCATAATTACTCATTTAATTTATTATAAAATACTCTCACAATCATCTTAGCATAAGAATATCAACACTACCATCTACAAAATTATAACGTAGACAGTGTAAATTTTTTTTGTAATTTCTCATACTCTTAGACTATTTTACACTGATGATGCCAGTAAGTTAGTATCTTTTAAAGTTATTTGGGTAGTTCTTTTCTATTTGTACTTATGCCACCAACTGAAAACACAGATTGATTTTTTATTTTATATTTTAAAGTTTGAGATGTTTTAAAATTTAATTTGTTTCATAATAATATGTAATATTTACATGGATCCAAGTTTTTTTAAAAATGGTTAATATAGTTAATGAAGTCTAGTTTCAATAGCTATGCCTTATTCTCTCCCTCCCTCTCTCCTATATGTTAACAATTTATAGTGTTATGATTTATCTTTGAATTTATATATACTATATATTTTTAAATGTGTGTTCTTTCTTTAAAAAAATCAGAAAAATACAAGTTCTTTTTTCCCAAATGCCCTTTTCACTTAATATATTGGTAATACAGTCATAGGTAAAGATATTCACTATTCATTTTTACATTTGAATTCTCATCCATTAAAAGATGTATCACCATTTATTCATTCAGAGCACTACTGATGTAAGTTTAGCTGGGTATTTATCTTTTATTATAATCCAATATAATAAAAATTATATTATATAATATAATATAATGTAGAGAAGTAGGATGTGTGAGTGAGAAAATAAACATTGAGCTAGGGACTCATGACTCAGTTGTAGAGCCTTTATCAAATGTGAGGTCCTGGCTTCTATCTCCAGCACTGCCAAATTAAAAAAATAAAAGAAAGAAAGTAAACAATATGATTTTATACATTATTTCTAGTTCTCCTTCTTAGGTGTGGCAGCACTTTTGTGATAATACCACAGCTCTCTAAAACTACCTATTTTCTTGCAGGCTCACCAGTCAAGTATAATATTCAAGTAGGACTATTGCTAATGTGACAAGTGAGAAATGGAACTTTAGTGTAGTTTTAATTTATATTGATCTTTTTAAGTATAGAGAAAAGTATCTTTAAATATAACCAAAAATCATTTGTTTTTCTCCTTTGAATTTTTGTGCATACTTAAATGCCAATTATTTTTAATGCATTGTTAGTTTCTGTTCTTGTCTAAGTGATAAATTTGTATATATCAGGGATATAAACTTTAGTCTCTGATGTAAACTGGAATCTTTTTCCCAGTTTGTCACATGACTTTATATTGGTTATTTTTATTGCCATGAAATTTTGTAGTATAATTTAATTTCTCTTTTCTCTTATTGCTTCCTGACTTTGAACCATAGTAACAAAGATTTGCCTACTCTTAAATTAGAGTAAAATGTATCCATATTTTTTACCTATTATTAGTGCTTATATTATATGTTATTTTATTATTGATTATACATGAATATTTTCTCCATTTTGGATTTATTCTAATAAATTCTATGAAGAATTGAGTACATCCTATCATTTTTTGTATGACTCTCCTACTAGGAGAGGTAATCCTTTATCATACAGTAAATTTCATCTATAGTTTTACTATTTCTGGACTTTCAAGTCAGTTTTAGTGATTTTTTTTCTATTTTCTCATATAATGTCCAGGAAAATTTTTCTTTTCTTTTCTTTTCTTTTCTTTCTTTCTTTCTTTCTTTCTTTCTTTCTTTCTTTCTTTCTTTCTTTCTTTCTTTCTTTCTTTCTTTCTTTCTTTCGTCTAATCAGAGGAGTAGTTTAATAATCATACATTTGGATATGAATACAGAGATATAAGTGTAACTCTTTAATGTGGACAATTTATTATACTCTCAATTTCCCCATATCCTTGTCTATAAAATAGAAATTACAGAGTTATTGATGATTACTTACATAAATTCTTATCAGTAAAATGGAAATGATTTATGGGGTGATTATGATTGGCTGCTTAAGTAATCATCAGTATAATTTGATTTGACTTCTACATTTGACATCCAAGATTTGACTTTAACATTTTCTTTACTTTAGAACAAAAAAATGTTGTATTTACACAGTGTAAGATATACAGTTGAAGGGAATTTCTGCAAGAAGGGTATTTCAACTCTACTAAAATGTCAATGTTTAAGAAATATTCACCCTAGTAATTAAAAGTATCTTCAAAACCTACATTCTAAATTATATGATTCACATAATAAACTAAATACTTATTTGTAAAAAAATTACTGAGATGAAACAGAGCATGTTCATATTAGTTTCCAGGCATTATGATATTTGGTTTAAATTACTAGTCATTATTTATTACCAGATATGTAGAGAGACCAGGCAGGCTATAATTAAGATTTATGCACCATTAAAATGTAATCTTATAATCCAAAATTTGCTTTTCTTCTACTTAATATCTCTTTTCATGTGATGAGGTTCCAAATTAATTAAAGAGCTCTCTTAATAAAAAAAAATTTGGAAAATCATCCAAACAAATATTTTCCATTCTCTTACTCATAAACTAATTAATTATATACCACATTTGTGTCTGCTTTCCCTAGACTGCATAATTTTGAAACTTAATTTACTAATGAAATTGTAATTCTGTTGCTCAGTTAATGAAGGAAAATAGACAAAGCAGATACACATATTACTTTTTGTTCTCAGTTATGTGCTGAAATGTCAATGTTTTCCAGGGACTCCTGAGGATTACCCACGGTTTTTCCATATGCATCCTAGGACTGCAGAACTTAGTCTGCTGGAGCCTGTAAACAGAGACTTTCATCAGAAATTTGATTTGGTTATTAAGGTAAATTAAACTAATGTCTAATTTCCTTGTATTTATGAAATGCTAATCAAAGAAAAGCAGAGGCTAATGTAGGCACTTTTATGTTTTAAATATTAAAATGAATGTGAATAGCAATTAACCAACTTTTTGATTAAAAAAGAACGTTAGGTACATTTTTAATATACTATACTGCTTTTCTCTAAAGCAACTTTATAATTGTATAGAATAAAATACTTAATATTTTAATATATAATTTTTAGTTAAATATATACATATTTCTACATAATATAATTTATTATGTCTTGCAACATTTTTTTTACTAAAAGGAATTAACTTTGGACTACAAAAGAATAATCAATGAGTATACCTAAAATGTACTTGATTTGTATTTTTATTTTAATAATATTTTAATGTTGCATTTTAATCCTTATATAAGAATGAAATGTCTTGCTCAACAACAGATTCTTTCAATAGACGCTCCATTTTACTCTTTATGTTGAAAGCTCATCCTAGATTGAAATATGTTTGAAAGCTAGGGTAATTTGCACTACAATTTTGATTTAATAATATGTAACATGAAATCAGAAAAGAGGTACTGTAGAAACCTGGATGATTTTCCAATTGATTTCCATGGACTTCATTGAGACGGTGAGATTTAAATTGGGCATTGAAGGAAGAGTAGGAATTTGCCAAACAGAGATGGGTACTGAGAGAAGGGAACTGTAGTGAATGAATGGCTAGCAACAAAGACAGAGAGTAACTCTAGTTTATATCGTGTGAATTTGTATATCTATGCATACAAAATAATTAGCTACCAAAAGGCTCCCCTTTACTTTTTGCTCCTAAGAAAGTAAATATTTTCCTTCTTTATTTAAATTTAAAATAATTAAAGAAAAAGGAAGTAAAATATAGAAATTTATAGAGCATACATGTTATACATGCTTATCTCTGTACACTTTTCATTGGATTGTTGCCATAGTTTTAATTGTATGTTCATTTATACAAACTGTGAAAACTAAAGCTCAGGTAGGGAAAATAATTGGCTCAGGATTACATGACTGATCAGGTAAAAATGAGATTCAAATTTAGTTTTACCTAAGTTACAAGAATTTTCTTTTCATAGTATGGAATTATTGTTTCTTAGAAATGGCTATATGGTTTAACTATCCATACATCTAACTGCAAAATATTTTGTATACAGACATTTAATTTTATTTCAAATTAGGTGATATATCCTTTGCACCCATTTTAGTATACAAGCTGGAAACTGTTTATTAAGTAATTCCTTGTCTGGGAAGAACTTACATTCCAGACACAGGTAAATCAAAAATAAAATGTCTAGTGCTAATAAGAAGTCACATAAATAAAAATAACAGAGCACAGAAAAAATACATTTAAGTTAATCTGTGGACCCAGAAAAAAAATTTCTGAATATTACCCCATGCTAAATATTGCTAGATTGAAAAAGTTTGGCCAATGAGTGAAAGTGGGAAATGTGTCTGAACATAAGGAAAACAAAAGTAAAAGCTTGGAGGCAAACATAGCTGGCTACAAGCAGTTAACATAGAAATGAGCTGTAGTTTCAGACCATGGAGAAAATCTTATGGATGGATACAGTTTCATTGGATTTCATTCAGTAAGGCAGTAGGAGTCATTCAACCAAGAAACACTACTTTTACCACTTGTATAAATTGGCTACACATGTGATTAATCTTTCATTGATGATTTTAATTATCATGGAACTATATAAAACTAAGAAACATGTACCCATGATCTACTGTCATCTACCTGGAGTATTGTGGTGCTGCTCTCTGTGGAAGTTGAGAAACTTGACAAAACAAACTGGTGCATTTGAAATCAGAAATCATTTTTTTTCCTTTCATTATCAAAGTCAGCTGTCCTGAGTACTGTATAACTTAGCCCATCAATTATAGGAAAAAAATCAATTAGAACTGGTCATAGATAATTCCTTTATGTTTTAATGCCATTTTATATTTTAATAGAAGTTTTTACAGATGTTATTAGACTCAAATTGCTGTGTTTTGTGTGCAATCAAGGGGATAATAAGCAAAGGTATCAATCTGTAAGAATAATAATGTGCCTCCTGCTTGAATAATAGCTGAGTTTTGTGGCATTGTTCAGGAATCCATTGAAACTCTACAGTCTGGCACTTCCCTGTAGTATGCCTTTGAACATTTCCCCTTTTTTATTTTAATAATGCCTCATTTTTCTTGGCTATGAAAGATTTTGTTGGACTAGATCCCAATTTCTGTTTTGGAAGCTAAGAAAAATAAAAGACAATGAAGTATCTTCTCTTAGACTTTGAAGAATTGTGCTTTAAAAAACCATGTGAGCATTTAACAGCTGGTGAGGGACACAAATTAGAGATTTATCATCTCATTTCTGCCACTGATTTAATCAGTATACTGACAAGTAAAAATGTAAAGGTGAAGCTTAAATAATTACATTTGTTTAAGGATATTTAGAAAAGGGATACATTCTGTGAAGCATGCATTGGGTTCCCCAGAATAGTTCATGTTTGTGCCTGTTGTCCTTGAGTTAATGTCTGTAGCACGTGTTTCATTCAAAGAGTTGTTCCAATTTGGATGATAAGATATATGATCACTATATTCACATAGTTTAAAAAATCCTATAAAGTAGAATATGAAAGCATATTTTATATGCTAGGTGAATTTTGTTAAGGTCTGTAAACAAGTCAAAATAACACCTGGTATTTTGCCAGGGGAATGTTAGAGTTCGTAAACAAGTCTGGATGGTGCCTGGCAAAATGCCAGAGGGAGTGGTTTGAGAAATAACAAAAGCGAGCCATTAAGTGTGGAGATTCCGTATTGGTTGACTGATGTATCTAGTTTATGCTAATTAAGATAAGCTGTGCAAAATGTATAAATAGCTCTGTTGTCCTACAATAAATGGCTCCTATTTTGCTGCAGCCAGACTGCGGCAAATTTAGTTCATGTGTGGAGCTAAAACAAATCACAAAAATTCACTTTCATTTTTAAAAGTGTGGTATCTTAAAGGCATTATTGTCAATATGTTAGTTCTCTAGACATCCCTTCACTGTAATATACTGATTTTAAGTCCTTTGGGGTATAAACCAAGGAGTGGGGTAGCTGGGTCAATTGGTGGTTCTATTCCAAGTTTTATGAGGAATCTCCATAATGTTTTCCATAATGGTTGCACCAATTTGCAGTCCCACCAGCAATGTATGAGTGTGCCTCTTCCTTTACATCCTTGTCAACACTTATTGTTGTTTGTATGCATAATAGCTGCCATTCTGACTGGTGTGAGATAAAATCTTAGGGTACTTTTGATTTAAATTTCTCTAATTTCTAGACATGTTGAATATTTTTTTCATATATTTGTTGATCGATGGTATATCTTCTTCTGAGAAGTATCTGTTCAGCTCCTTATTCCATTTATTAATTAGGTTGTTTGTTTCTTTGGTGTGTTTTGGGTTCTTTATATATCCTGGGGGTTAGTGCACTATTCGATGTGCTTTTGGCAATAATTTGCTCCCAAAATGTAGGTAGGCTCTCTATTCACTTCGTTGATTGCTTATTTTGCTGAGAAGAAGCTTTTTAGTTTGAATCCATCCCATTATTAATTCTTGATTTTATTTCTTGCACTTTAAGAGTCTTGTTAAGGAAATTGGGGCCTAATCCAATATGATGAAGATTTGGGCCTACTATTCCCTTTATTAGATGTGTGGTCTCTGTTTTTATGGTCTTTAGTTTTTCCTCCCACACAAATCATCTCTCAAGCCTTAGCTTCGTTTCCTAGTATGTGAACCATGTTCCCACATCACCAATAGAGTATCAATGAACCAATAATAATGAAAATACATCAGGCTGCTGCATATTGCCTTCATGTCACTTTACAATTTGCCAACTGCATGAATCTCCACCAGAGATTTTTGTCATGTTAAAAGATCACAGGTGTCAGATTCAGACAGAATGTGGAGTCACAGATTATCAGGCATCACTTCTTCAAATAAAAATGATGAAATCTCCTTTGAAATGAAGGAACTACCAAAACTCATTGAATGTGAAATACAAGTTACTGTGTTTTGTTTTCCTCTATGATGTGTGCATTATAAGTTTATTTACATGAACATAAATAAAGAGGAGAACAGAAGACCACAAATTCTCCCTTTGGGAGAGATGGAATAGAAGCCATCAGTGACCTAGGGTTCAGGCCCCCTCACCCCCAACACACACACAATCAGGGCTGCTTTTGACCAGCCACAGGAAGCAAGGCAAATGCTATGAATGACACACCTTCAGATTTCTGGATATATTCTGGCCATGTATTCTTAGTCGTATAGATTCTTGAAAGAATGAAATATACATACAACATGTTCTCATCTGTCAGTCAGTGTGAACAACTATAACAAGATGATGTACACTGATTTATACTCAGCAGAAACTTGTTTCACACTGTTCTGGTGGTAGGAAAAATGAGATCAGGTGATTTGTGATCAGCAAGATTGGGTTGTGGTGAGGTGCCTCTTCTGGGTTGCAGGTGCCAAACTCTTGTATCCTTATATAGAAGAAAAAGTGCAAGGGAGCCATCTAAAGAGGCTTTTATAAGGGCATTAATCCCATTCATAAATCTTTGACTCTCAACCTAATCAACCTCACAAAGCCACCATCTCTTAATAACATTTTATCAGGGATGAGGTTTCAAGACATGAATTCTGGGGACACATTTATTCTATCGCATACCTAATCTTAGTTAAGCAGGTTAGTAAAGAATAATTTCATATCATTTTTCCAATAGCAAGGTCCCCAAGGTGAGCAAAAGTGAAGATCCTTTTTACATTTTAGAGAAAATCATCCCATACAAATTTCAGGCAATATTGCTATTAGTAATAAAATAGCAGTCTTTTCATGGATAAGTAATGCATATTCTAAAACTTCTTGACCAATTTTATACAGTGGTAAGTATTCAAATTTTAAAATTTTTGTTTTACTTTTTTTATTGTAGTACATTACCACATA